TCTCTCTCTGTCAAATAAATAAATAAAATCTTAAAAAAAAAAAAGAGTAAGACACTGAGACCAGGAGGAGACCTGTACTAGGAAGCAGCAGAGTTATGAGGTAAAAAGCCAAAGTCAGGAACCAGGTACCTTGGAAACTGAAAGAGCAATGAAAACAGAGTAGAAAATGGATTTCACTGGACACCATGAGCAGTGGTTGATACTATGCCTCTCAGCTCAGATTGAGTATGCTTATGTATTTCCTGTTGTGCCAGGAGCCATACCCAGAGTGAACAGCCCGGGACTTGAAGGTGGAAGCAGGTAATCAGGAGCATTTAGCCCAGATGGAATGTGCGGGCATGAGGGAAGCAGTGGCTCTTGGCAGTGAAGTCCTAACAGCTTGGCTACATTTAACATAGGATGCTTAAAGTGTTTATTGAAAGAATTATTCACTTTTATAACATACATTTGCTGTTGTGAAGCTCAGAAGTATATGATTTCGCTCTTTATTTTAAATTCTTTAAAATAAGTAAAGATACAACTTCTCTTATTTTTTCTCTCTTTTTCCAGAATATGCCAGATCCCCACAACCTTCCAATAGTGGCTGGTTGGAAAAAATACCCACTCTTTTTTGGTACTGCTGTGTTTGCTTTTGAAGGCATAGGAGTGGTAAGAATTTAGTCTTTATTATTATTTTAAAAAATTTTAAGTCAACACAAAGATTTATGTAGTCAAACTACATTTAAAAATGCATTTTTCTTTTTTGTTGCCATTTTCTTCATTGCCAGAACACTATTTGTAGTTTTGTAGGTTAGACTTGAATTATAGCTTAGTTTAGATGATTTTTAACATTTTATTATGGAAATTTTCAAGCCTAAGACAAAATCTAGAGAATAGCCTGATGAACTCTTGTGTAAGCATCACCCAGCTTCAAAAATCGACTCATGGCCAGTTTTGTTTTATCTGTATTCCATCTACTCTGCCAAGCCCAGGTTACATTCAGACAGATCCCAAACATCATATTTTATAGACTAGATGATTTGAAGTGAATTGAAATTGTTACAAAGTTGCTATTACATAGAAGAATCAAATATAAATTCTCCCCTTAGATTTACACATATCATATTTGTTTTGAGAAATGATGTTATCATAAAGCTAATACCAAGAAATACAAGCACCCTGAGGATTCTAAGATCTTAAATATTTCCATTTAAGATGCTTCCAGTTTATTTAAAGCCTGGAATGTGTAGATTTAGGGAAAACAGAATATCACTCTCTGCTTTATAGCTTATGTTTCATTGTCTGATGGTTTGGTATGGGAGGGAAACCACTTAAACATATCTATATGAACTACAGATGAAATAAGACCTAGGAGACAATTTTATACTATTTTACTTGGGTACTTGCTCTCCCTGAATTCTCCTTTAGAGAATTCTCACAAATTCTTACAGTTCCATTTATCGAACGGTTACAGACATAACTGCAGATTTTCATTTCTGTCTTTAACCAGTAAGTTCTAGTTAACTATTGGACATTTCCAGTTAAGTTGTTCCTCTAACATCTCAAGTTCGACAGCTCCGAGTCTGACATAGACTTTCTTAATCCAAAACCAGCTTCACTTTCTCATTTCCCTATTTCTTTTAATTTTATTTTCAGTTGCTCAAGCTTGAAACATTGGAGCATTTCCTTTCACTTTGTCCCTGGTTCCCCTATTCCATTGGTAATTAAGGCATGTTTATTTTTCTTTCATATTTCCCCATAAATGAAATTACATTTAAAACACCCACAGTGTTGCTAACCCCAGAGAGAGCCTACATAAATGTGAATTTCCTTCCTTTCCTCCTTTTCTAGCTGCACTGGCATCATTCTTAACCATAGCCTCTTATTTCAGGTCTGGATTATCTCCAGAACATCAGATGGTTCTCCCTTCTATTAACCAGTTAATATTTCCATATGGACCTCACTTACCTAAAAAGTAGAGCTATTACTGGAGTTAGTGTCACATAGGGTTACTGTGAGGACTACATGAGATGCTGCCTGCAAAGCATCTAGAATAATACGTGGCAGGGGGTGGTCCAAGATGGCAGTAGGGAAAGATCTTGAACGCCCCTTCTCCCCTGGACACACTACAGCTACAGCTACATATGGAATAATTGCCTCGAGCAGGAGCTGAAAACTAGCTGAACAGCTGCTCCACAACAAGGAACAATAGGGCCACCTCAAGACGGATAGGAGAGACAGAGATGTGGGCTCACCAAAAACTCTACCTCTGGTGCAGCAACCCAATATAGGCAGGCATCTTACAAGCCCAGAGCCTTTCCCTAGGGAGCAAGGGGTTTGTGTCCCACAGCAGGCAGCCCAGCCCTTGAGACCTGCACTGGAGAGACAAGCCTCCAATGGGGCTTCCATCCATAGGACCCAAAGGGCTGTTGGGATCTGAGAAACTCCTTTTAAAGGGCTTGCATGTGGACTCACCTGCCCCAGAACCTAGCATAGAAGCTGCAGTTTGAAAGGTGCCTAGACTCTATGTGAAGGAGATTCATTTGCTAATCTTAAAGCATCTGCTGGAGGGGTGGGGACAAGTTGGGACTTTCTCCAGGGATGGTGAGCACCATATCTATAGTCTCCCTCTATGATGCTAGTGCAGGTGGACACTCACAAACACAGCAATCTCCCGATGGCTTGCTAACACTGGTGGGCCTGCCCTGCCCTCAGTGTTCTTCCCCTGCCTTACTAAAGCTGTGGGCAAGTGTAGTCCACACAGGGGTGCCCCTTGATCACCTGGCCCTCGTGGCTAGGGGGGGTTTGTGTTCCAGGGCCCCATAGGACTTTAACAATGGGAATGACAGTTCTTGGCAGCATGCCATGCTGAGGGCACTGCACAGACAACAGACTGAAATGCACCCCAAGTCAGCCAGTGAAAAAGGCCTATTTACGGTGCTGAAGCTTTAACCCGAGGGACAGGCTTCAGGTTTGCCACATATCTCAAGGCTGCAGAAGCGCTCTCAGGGCACGTAGACAGGGAAATACCATCTCGTGCCCTCCTTTGGTCTTGTTACAGCTTTCTGGTACCTCCCAGAAAGGGGCTTATACAGTTATCTGAAACCTTGACTTTTACAACTGTTCCCCCAGGGGACCCTCCACATCTCCTGGTCTAGAGGCCAGCAGGGTTTACAATTATGGTCCCATAGGACTGTGTATTTCTATACTTTAAAAGCTGCTGCCTGAGGATCTGACTTCCAGTCATCCTGAAACTTGGCAGTAACTGAGATCCCTACACTGGAACACTGGCAGCTCTTGGCACACCTTCAACAACTGAAATTTATCAAGAATAAATCAGGCTACTTAGATAATCACAAAGGTCCAAGAGACAACCAAGAACTAGGTCAAGGTTGAATGATAGAGTTCATCTTCTACAAAAGGTCACTCCTTCAAGACTGGGAAATGTAGCTGTTTCAGCTAATACATAGAAACAAACACAGAGAGTCAAGAAAAATGAGGTGCAGGAATATGTTCCAAATGAAGGAACAAGACAAAACTTCAGAAAAAGACCCTAGTGAAATGGAGATAAGTAATCTACCTGATAAAGTGTTCAAAGTCATGGTCATAAAGATGCTCCTGGAACTTGGAAGAAGAATGGATATTCTTCAACAAAGCAAAAGAAAAATGTAAGTACCAAACAGAAGTCGTAAAGCTGAAGAATACAATTACTGAACTGAAAAATATACTAGAGGGCTTCAAAAGCAGACCAGATGAAGCAGAAGAACTGATCAGTGACCTCAAAGACAGGGCAGTGGAACTCACTCAAACAGAACAGCAAAAAGAAGAATTTGACGCCAGAAAGAATAGCATTTGCGTTATAGGGATTGAAAGGGGGAAGATAGGGAAGAAATAATGGCTGGAAATTTCCCTAACCTGGGGAAGGAAACAGACATCCAGATAGTTCCAAATAAGATGAACCCCAAGAGATCCACACTGAGACACATAACTAAAATGTCAAAAGTTAAAGAGGAATCTTAAATGCAATAAGAGAAAAACAATTTGTTTCATACAAGGGAACCCCCATGAGGCTGTTAGCTGATTTTTTACCAGAAAAATCAGAAGGGAGTAGCATGATATATTCAAAGTACTGAAAGGAAAAAAACTTCCAACCAAGAATACTCTACTTGGCAAGGTTATCATTTGGAATTGAAGGAGCACTTAACCTGAATAAAAGTGCGAGCATGGGCATCCTTGACTTGTTCCTGATCATAGAGCAAAAGCTGTCAACTTTTCATAGTTGAGTTGATGCCAGCTGTGGGCCTGTCATATATGGCCTTTATTATGTTGAATAATGTTCCCTGTATACACACTTCATTGAGTGTTTTTATCATGAACAAATATTGAATTTTATAAGTGCTTTTTCTGCATCTATGGAGATGATCATATGATTTTTATTTTTATCCTTCATTTTGTTAATTTGGTGTATGATGTTAATTCATTTGTAGATGCTGAACCATTCTTGCATCCCTGGAATAAATCTCTCTTGATTATGATATATGATCCTCTTAATGTATTGTTGAATTTGGTTTGATATATGATCCTTTTAATGTATTGTTGAATTTGGTTTGCTAATATTTTGTTAAGCATTTTTGCATCTATGTTCATCAGGAATATTGCTTACAATTCCCTTCCTCCCTTCCTCCCTTCCTCCCTTCCTCCCTTCCTCCCTTCCTCCCTTCCTTCCTTCCCTTCTTCCCTCCTCCTCCTCCCCCTCCCCCCCCTCCATGTCCTTGTCTAGTTTAGGTATCAGGGTAATGCTGGCATAGTAAATGAGTTTGGAAATATTCCCTCCTCTTCGGTTTTCTGGAAGTATCTGAAAAGGATAGGTATTTAAATATTTTTTGAATGTTTGGTAGAATTTGCTTGTGAAGTCATCTGGTCCTGGACTTTTGTTTGTTAGGAGTTTTTTAATTACTGATTTAATCTCCTTACTAGTAATCTTTCTGTTCTGATTTTCTAGTTCTTCATGATTCAGTGTCTTGGAACATTGTGTATTTTAAGGAATTTATCCATCTCTTCCAGTTTCCTCAATTTTTTGTCATATAATTGTCCATAGTAGTCTCTTATGAACCTTTGTATTTCTGTAGTATCAGTAGTAACTTCTCTTTCATTTCTGATTTTATTTATATGAGCCCTCTCTCCTTTTTAGTTGGTAAGTCTAGCTAAAGGTTTGCCAATTTTGCTTGGCAACTATAGGCAATAATACTTTATTGCATATTTGAAAGTTGCCAAGAGAGTAAATCTTTAAAGTTCTCATTACAGAAAAAAAAATCATAATTTTGTATGGTGACGGATAGTAACTAGACTTATTGTGGTGATCATTTTGCAGTGTATACAAATATCAAACTCTTATGTTTACAACTGAAACTAATGTTATATGCCGATTTTATCTTAATTAAAAAAGAAAAATACCTGGCACGTTGTAAGTACTCAGTAAATACTTGCTGTTATTATTTCTTAGTATCTTTTACTGTATGGTCAAATCATATGGCCAAAACCTCTGAAGATTTGCCTTAAAAAACTTAACTCTTCAATTAGCCTTTTTTTCAAGGTTTTTTTTTTTCACATAATAAAAATAACTTTTTCATCTGACTAAATTGACAGCAGATACAAATGGCTAGATATAGAAGCAATCACAGACATGAATATACCTGGGTTAGTGTGCACACACGTATATCACTTCAGCTGAGAGATACACAGTAGCGACAGGCACACCCAGCACCCAGATCTGGACTTCTAAATACCATTCTACAACAAAAGAACCGAAGTTCTTTGGAGAAAGGTCTGATTCTGGGGCTGAAACAAGGACATTCCAGATGAGTCTAGAGCATCTTGTAGTGCTAGAAAGTATGGAAATGCTAAAACAAAACAAAACAAAAGAACGGAGGCATGCAAAGGAATACAGGAAGCAACCTGATGGAATTCACAATGACCAAAGCTGGAACAATATGAGCAACAAAATAAATAAGTGTTTTGGATTCATATTCATAGTATAAAACAAATATATATGAATGCATACTAATATAAATAAATGATTAAATAAATACATATATAGGGGGGATTCCCAAATAATTTATGTAGATGCTTCCCCTCCAGGAGGTATGGCTTAATCTCCCCAGTCCCTGGAGTATGGGCTGCATTTAGTGACGTGGCTTCCAATGAACAGAATATGATGAGAAAGAAGAAAAGACCTTTGTAAGCAGAGAAACCTGGCAAACACGGCCTTAAACCAAGTGATCAAAGTCAATTTCACCAGTGGCAAATCATGTTGATAGCATGTGTGATGAGAAGGGCATTTCACCTCTATGGTATCTTGTTCTAAAACCTATAATCCCAGTGTACAGACAGCAGACAACATCAGATAGATCCCAGCAGAGAGACATTATACCAAATACCTAACCAGTGCTCCTTAAAACTGTCAAGATAATGAACAATGAGGAAGGATTACAAAACCATCACAGATCAGAGAAGACCAAGGAGATAATGGTGACAAAATGCAATGTGGCATCCTGGAAGGGACCTTGGAACAGAAAAAGGACATTAGTAGAAAACCTAGTGAAATCCAAATAAAATATGGAGTTTAACAGTAACGAACCAATGTTGGTTCTTAGTTGTAACAAATGTACTTTGGTAGTTTAAAATGTTAACAATAGGGCAAACTGGTCAGGGGTATATGGGAGTTTTCTGTTTATCTTTGCAACTTTTCTGTAAATCTAAAATTATTCCAAAATAAAAAGTTTATTTAAAAAAATCTGACAGATTTGCCTGCCAAGAGCTAATTTCAGACCTTTTTATTTTAAGGATTTGAAAATCTGTAGTGTAAAAAATATATATAACACCAAGAAAAATATTCAGCAGTTATGTGTTATTTTAAAGGAAATAAAATGTGCATATAAACTATAGAAAGCATAATTTGCGTATATATAAGATGGGATACTAGGTGGTTTTAAATTACTTGTATTACCTGCATTCTCTTCTTAGGTTCTTCCACTGGAAAATCAAATGAAAGAATCAAAACGCTTCCCCCAAGCATTGAATATTGGCATGGGAATTGTTACAACCTTGTATGTAACATTAGCTACCTTAGGATATATGTGTTTCCGTGATGAAATCAAAGGCAGCATAACATTAAATCTTCCCCAGGATGTATGGTAGGTAGATATGAGTTTGTTAATCCTAGTTTGTATACTTTATAGATATAGCTTACCAGTATTTGGTGATAAAGGTGTATTTTTGGATTTGTGGTTTAAACATTTAAAAATTTTATTGTGATTTCTTATTTGTGTAACCTAGAATTTTTTCATAATCTTCAGAGGAGACCGTCTATGATTTTACAGATTTCTTGGGACTCTTTAAAAAGATTAAAAATTGTAGTATATTCCAAATTTGAGTAAAATATAAAAGTAAAATATGGATTCTTTTACTATGGACTCACTGTAATAAAAAATGTAATACTTATACTCACTGCCAAAAAACCCAACACTCTGGATTCCTGATAAAATAATAAAACCCATCACTTATGACCCTCACTATTTTACTGGTCAGCCTTAATATGGTATGTACCCCAGATCCTTTCAGAACACAGATAGGACACATTATTAAAAAATAATATGGTGCCTCTTAATATTCTCTTAATATTAGAACCATATTCTGCAAAATGAAGCAATACAGAGGGTTTTTTCCTTCTTCCAGAGATTGGTCTCTGGAGATTTTTAAAAAGATATTGGCAGCAATTACCATGTAAACGTGCTCCCTTATTTATAAAACAGAAAGTAACTCCTTAGTTTTGACAAATACAAAGAATAAATGTTAAATTGCTCATTTAATTAATGTCCCACTGCTCGTTGAGCTGCTTGGATAGAAGTCTGTGAAACCTGAGATGTTTTTAAATATTACGTGTTCTGACTGGCATCCTATTGGTAGCTTGGGAGTTTGTCTACCTCTCAGTAGTCATCTGAACCCTGGGTTTTTACTGGAGTCGAAAATGTTGTAAGAACAAATGCATATAGGAAGCCATTTGTGATAGAATGTACCTAGAATAGTTTCCAGGTTGCACAAGGAGCAAACATGCAGTGTGTTCATTTTTTTATAATTATAATTCTACTTTAGCTATGACACATTTTATAAATGTATTTCATGATAGAAACGTGTCAAATGTTATGCCTTCATTTCAGACTAGAGACATGATCACAAACAAGATATATAACTTTAAGCATTTATTTCATTAACTTATGTTATAGTTATTTATATAATTTTGTTTCTTCCAAATATGCCTCTTTTTGTAATAGTTTAATACAGGCTAGAAGCTTAAACAGATTAATATAAGAAATAATCAAGGCTAAAAATTATGGTAGCATAATTCTTTTTTTTTCAACTACTATATAATGTCTAGAAAATAGTATTTTCCCAACTTAGAATAATATTTAGAATAAATCTGAAGAATAATTTTATAAATAAAATTGACAAGTACTTTTAATAAGTCAAATATAAAATGTAAGTGGAAACAATCTCAGAATTCTTCCCTACTCTTCTTCACAGAAGTATTTAAAGAGAGAAGGGATCGAAGGGGGAGTATGCATGCATGTCAAGTTAAGATGTTCCTATTCCCAGAGAGTGAAGAGCATGGCGAAGAACAGTGGGAGAGACAAGCAGGGAATGCTGTCGGTGTTCACAACTGAGTCTTGAGGGAGCCCTGATGCCCCTGCAGTAGCTCTGTGTAATCCTTGCCTTTTTCCGCACCCCCTTCCTGCCTCTCACCTTATCCCTCATTGTATGGCTTTACACTTAGAACTAGTTGCAAAGTCTTGATTAAAAAGGGACCATCACGGGGCTCCTGGGTGGCTCAGTTGGTTAAGCAACTGCCTTCGGCTCAGGTCATGATCCTGGAGTCCCAGGATCGAGTCCCGCATCGGGCTCCCTGCTCAGTGGGGGGTATGCTTCTCTCTCTGCCCTCTTCCCTCTCGTGCTCTCTGTCTCTCATTCTCTCTCTCTCAAATAAATAACTAAAATCTTTAAAAAAAAAAAAAAAAAAGGGACCATCACATCCTTGTCTCTGTTCAAGAAAGCCTAGCTAGTCACATGCTTTTCATTTAGAGGAAAGGATAGTACATGTATCCTAAGAAACAAAAATCTGGACGGAAAGCAAGTCAAGATACGTAATTCTCCTTCAGAGAACTTGTGTTGGCTAATTCCTTTTCCTTGTGGAGATAAGCCTTCAGTGGCCCGCTGTCCATTTCTTTATGGTCTCTGCCTCTGGGACAGTTAAAATAACAGCCATGACTGAGGAATAATGCAGAGGAGATGCTTGTCTTTATATAGTGATAGTCTTCTGTAAAATGAGAAGTTTGGACTGGAATGATCATAGGATTATATCTAAAATTTCTTTCTTGATGTACTATGTGTGAGTCTCTTCTTCCTTTCCCTCCCTGTGCTTCAGGCGATAGGCCCAGGAAGTCAGAGAACGTGCAGTGTACTGGTTATTGTTGGTATAAAAGCCGTTGGCTGTCACAAGAGCCTAGGGGGCTCATAGCTGCTAGTGATGGGAAGCTGTAAAGGGCTTTTGATGCCATGTGACTTACATTCTCAGAATTCAGAACGGGTAGTCCTACAAGAAAATGCTGAATTAGAAAGCAGCCCCAGGATAAAGCAAGTATGGATTAGAGAAGCTCCAAGTTATTAACTGTTTATTGATTGAGGTATCACCTTTTAAAACTAGTTACGAGTAGTATTATTCAGTGTATCACATTTAGATTTTGAAGCAAAGATTGTGTTTTAAAGATGATAAGTAGGGACGCCTGGGTGGCTCAGCCGTTAAGCGTCTGCCTTCAGCTCAGGTCGTGATCCCAGGGTCCTGGGATCGAGCCCTGTATGGGGCTCCATGCTCAGCGGGGAGCCTGCTTCTCCCTCTCCCTCTGCCATTACCCCCGCTTGTGCTCTCTGGCTCTATCTCTCTGTCAAATAAATAAATAAAATCTTAAAAAAAAAAAACCAACAAAACTTTGGCAGTGAATTTTAAAATACTTTTTAATGTGCATTAAGTGTTATTTAAAATTTGTTTATGCTCTCCTATATCTTCAGAACAAATTCTTACAACTTTAAGAAAGTTTTTTATCCTTTGGAGAGAGAGTTTACAGGGTAGATTCTTCTTTCAACTCTTCATTTCTGCAGCTGAGTACATAGATGCTTGCTTAAAACCAAAATGAGAACAAAGGTTGATAATATCTATAGAAAAGTTGATTAGAGAAAAATAGAGTGATTGAAAATATAGATGGCAAACAGAAACTAGTAGATTCTTAAAACAGAAAAGAAGTCAAAATAGAACAATTGATTTCAAAAGACTGCAGTGCTTTTCTTAAACATCTTTATTACTCTTCTTTGGTTGATAAATAGCATGTATATTAGCTTTTAAAAGACTCATACCATTTTATTTCCCATTTGTACTCTGTGTAATACCTAATTAATCTTATTGACTTGCGTTAATAATAACCGGATTCTTAGCCTGTATAACTTGTTTTAAATCAATAGAAAAGTAATTATACCTATGCGCATAGTGATGTATTTTTAAATATATTGTTAACCATATTTAAAAACATGTAATTTAAAAGATAATTTGAACAAAAGGAATATTCTAATAAACTGATAAGAATATTCATTTAATTGTCTATAATTACATATCAGAGTATATGGAGCAGGAGTGTTTCAGTTATTCTGTGCATTGCAGTAACTTGACCATTTATATTTAAACTTTAAGTCTCAAGCTGAGAAATATATCCTGAAATCGTTTTAAAATTAAGATTTTATCGTTGCTAGCCCTAAGGAGTTCCTTTGTTCTTTAATTATGTTTGTAGTATTTTCAAATCTATTTCTACTCGACTTTTTTCCTTTCTCTTACTCATTCCTATGATGCATATATTATGGGAGGAGACTTACGGAATTCCTTCCCGCGTGGCTGCAGTTTAGAGAACTGTTTATAATCTTTGCTACTTTAAACCTTAAGACATCAGAAACAAGCTTAAAGTCTAATTAATGTTGAGGCCTTTCTTTACTAAAAGTGGAATATTTCATATCTCTTTAAAAGGATTTCATTTTTTCCTAAGAAAGAAACACTCTTCCCTTGCATAGGCTTTGCAGGTGGGAAAGCAGGACTCTTAAGGGACGACTGGGACTATCAAGGATGATTCGGCCTAGAGAGGACACGTGTGTTAACCACTACCCCAATGCTGCGGCACATTCGATCCACGGTCTGCTCTCTGGTTGTTTTCTTAAAAGGATACAAGAGCAATTGGGTTTTTTATTTTAACTATTGTAAAATATTCAAAATTTCAAAAATCACAATGTAATTTTATTATCTATAACCCAAGAGAGTAGGCTCTATAATGTTCTGAGTCCTATGATTCTGCATTTTCTCTCTGTGCCGTTATCAACATTTAAAAAGTGTTCTTTTGCCAGACAACCGAAGTCTCTATCCAGACGTGCACACTGATTTTGACAAGAGGCTATCTACAATGCAGAAATCTAAAGATATTTCTAAAACTGAACATTGCTGTGCTGTTGTAAAGCACTGGGCATCAACCCAACCTCACAAACTTTATTTCTATATTAATATAACTGTAACATAGGTGGAATTCCTGTAGAATCTGGAGAACTTTTTAAGGTGAAACCATTTAAAATGCCCTCCTTTTGGACCTAAGAATGACGACATTTCTGCAACTAATGACATACATACCAAGATTTTTAAGCAAGGAGAACTGTAACTCAGAGTTCAATGTGAAGTTTTCTTCTATATATAGACCAGTAAGTTATCAAAGACATAACAGTATGCTCAGTTTTTAAAAGAGAATTGAGAAAGCATTAACTCTTCATGGAACACAGTGTAGCCTTTAGCACACTGGCTTAAGCCTACAATGAAATCTTTCCAGCAAACCTTTGCATTGCCACATTCAAGCTCTCTAGGCTTGTCAAAATGAACTGTCCACCAGTCATCTAGAAATTTAGTAGAGATCAGCTGGCTTTTTTTTTATAAACATTTAATTAGTAAGATATTGGCCTAAGTTTGTGTTGGATTTCTTACCTATCTTAACATTAAAGATAAAAAGAAGAAAGCCAGATTCATGTTAAGACAACAGTGTAGATGAACCTGGAAGGCATTATGTTAAGTGAAATAAGCCAGGCAAAGAAAGAAAGACAGATACTGCATGGTATTACTCATAGGTGGAATCTAAAAATATATATATAGGGGCGCCTGGGTGGCTCCGTCGATTAAGTGGCTGGCTCTTGATTTCAGCTCAGGTCATGATCTCAGAGTCCTGGAATGGAGCCCCTCCATCAGGATCTGCACTCAGCAGGGAGTCTGCTTGAGGATTCTCTCCCTCTCTCAGCCCCTCCCCCTCTCACTCACACTTGCTTTCTCTCTCTAAAATAAATAAATAAATTTTTTAAAAAACTAATTAAAAAATATATGTATATCAAGCTCACATAAACAGAGTAGACTTAACGGTTGCCAGGGGGCTGGTGGATGGGGAAGAAGAGAGTTTGATAGAAGAGTACAAACTTTTAGTTGTAAGGTGAAGAAATTCTAAGGATCTAATGTATAATGTGGTGACCATAGTTGGTAACAGTGTAGTGTATAAGTGAAATTTGCTGAGTAGAACTAAAGTGTTCTCACCAAAAAGAGAGAAAAAAAAAGCAAATATGTGAGGTGATGGAGGTGTTAATGAACTCGATAGTTGGAATCCTTTTACAGTGTATACTTATATCAAGTCATATTGTACACTTTACCTACAGTGTCATCCATTATACCTCAGTAAATCTGGGGAAAAAAAGAATGACTGAATTTTAAAATATTTTTTTAACAGGTTGTATCAATCAGTGAAAATTCTATATTCCTTTGGCATCTTTGTGACATATTCAATTCAGTTCTATGTTCCGGCAGAGATCATCATCCCTGTGATCACATCCAAATTTCATGCTAAATGGAAACAAATCTGTGAATTTGCGATAAGGTCCTTCTTGGTTGCTATTACGTGTAAGTATTACTACACATTTATATCATCATAATTTTTTCTTGTTGAATTTTGTATAATGAAGCTACTTAAGTATATCTTTTAATATTTTAAAAACAATTTTGTTTACATAACTGAGATACTTTTTGGATTAAAATTCTGTTATTCTACTACTGTATAAGAAAAACATAAACCAGAGCCTGTTATACTTAAAAGAACTAATTAAATTATTATTTTGAAACCTACATCAGTGGTGATTAAAATATATTTAAATCAGGTGCGTAAGGGACTCCTTATATTGTTGATATACATTTTACTTTGGTTTTAGTTTTCCTTGGGTTTTTAATTTCTGCTAACTTTTTTTTAATATTTTTTTTAATGATTTTATTTATTTATTTGAGAGAGAATGAGAGAGAGAGAGCACACAAGGGGGGAGGGTCAGAGGGAGAAGCAGACTCCCTGCCGAGCAGGGAGCCTGATGCGGGACTTGATCCAGGGACTCCAGGATCATGATCTGAGCCGAAGGCAGTCGCTTAACCAACTGAGCCACCCAGGTGCCCTCTGCTAACTTTTGTATATTTAACAGTTTAACTCTCCATGACTACCTATAGAAATGGGTTTTGTTTTGTTTTGGTCTTTAATAATTTCAGTGGCTAATTTTGCTTATTATTTGAAGGAATGTGTGTAATCTCGTCTTAAGGTTTCACATTATAAAATGCCTCCACCAGGGAGCACTAATTATGGAGACCTGTGGAGAAGAAGCTTGATTTTGGTACAGTGGAAATAGTGTGAGTTTTGGGGTCACACTGACCTGACGGTTCAAACCTACCACTCACCTGCTGGTGTCTTTAGACAAGTTCCATGGCATCTGTAAACCCCTCTTTTTTCAACTAAGAAATGAAGAAAGACTTCCTTCATGGCATTTTTGTAGGGTTTAAGAATATTAACAAAGTAGCCAGAAGTTGTAATTGTCACCATTATTGCTGTAACCACAAATATAAGATGACCATAATACTGAACCAGCGATTATCTAGAATGATACCAGGGACCATTGGAAATGGGTCAGCTTTCTGTGGAAGATATGAGTAACCATCTTGGCCCAGTCAAGGTGAGAGAATGAGAGAGCTAGAAATTAGGGGCAACTATAAATTTCAGTGAGCAGCTTGGGGTGGAGCTTAGCCTAGATCTAAAGAAAAGGCAAAGCTGGGAAAAGTAAATGAAAACTTTTTTCCAAATTAATCATTTAAATGAATTATAGCAACAATAAGGTAAATCATATTGAGGAGTGAAGTCAATGAGCCCAAACTCTGATGACGAAGAAAACAGTCAGTAGGAGAAAATTATTTTAAGACATTTTGAAATATTTCTTACACATTGTTTTTATTGATATTTTAACAACCGTACTAAATAAAAAGGCTGATTTCAGTACAAATCCTTTTATCATAGATGTAAGACTTCTGCTCTGAAAGCATTTCTCCTTTTGAAATTAGTAACTGAAGTTCACTTGAAGGAGCTTGAAGAAAATGTTAATGGGGTTTAATAACTTGTGATAGCTCAGTAACTTCACCCACTTCTTCACACTGGCCACCATTGTTATGTCAAAGCGCTCTGTTTGTACATCCACTACCATGAGTCTATTCCCAGAAGCCAGGGGCTCTCCTCAAAAGCTGAGTTCATGACACAGAGAATGGCCAGTGTTTCTTTGCCACTTCTCTCTTTTTAGTTAAAAATAGTCAAAGCTACTCAACGGTAAATGAGGCTTACAGTTACGGCATGCTTTGGACAAAGAGAACACAAACCAGGTAGTATTCCCTTCTACTTCGCTGGGGCACATCATCGGACACTGAGCTTCACTGGAGTCTTTGGCACATGCTTCCAAATTAAAGTAAAAGCCAGCCGATATGCATGACAGGACTGTTTTTTATCTGTTCTGTAAAGCACTTGACAAGCTTTGGGGGGCAGGCTCCTTACGGATGAGTGTGTGGACAGCTGATGAGACCCTGTAATGTCCACAGAGCAGGCTGTGTGACACTAGCAGTGAGAGTGGAGGCTCAGCTGGGTGTGCTTTGAAAATTGAGCCTCTTTCCGTGTTCCATAATCCTTTCCAAGTTTGTAGTATTGGTGTTCAAAGTAGTGAGCTTATCAGCTTGGATTGTGTTGGTTACACCCAAGTCTCTATTTAGCATTTGATTCATCATTTCAAAGCATCTTCTTAGTGGAACTCAAACGCTTGGAAGGATGGGTCAGACTCTTTTCTACCTGTTTTCTCTCGGCATTTACTTGCTATAGAGGCATCTCACAGGTGAGGGAGAAGGTGAATAGAAGCTGGCCAACAGCCACCATCAACTACAATAAATACCTTTTATTTTACAAGCAAACCTGTAGAAAGAACTGTTAAATTTTGAATTATAATGAACACTGAGACCAGTGTTTATTTATCTTTATTTTTAAATTTTATTTATTTATTTGACAGAGAGAGACACAGTGGGAGAGGGAACACAAGCAGGGGGAGTGGGAGAGGGAGAAGCAGGCTTCCCGCAGAGCAGGGAGCCTGATGCGGGGCTCGATCCCAGGACCCTGGGATCACGACCTGAGCCGAAGGCAGACACTTAACGACTGAGCCACCCAGGCGCCCCTGAGACCAGTGTTTAATTCCATGTTTGAATTGAATCTGTAAAATATGTTAAGTACTATTTATTTCTATTATTGTCCAATTCGTTGATCTTTCCACTATTTCTAATTTGAAAATTTTTTGGCCTTGGGAGTTTGCTTTATGGTTTTAGGAGATATGACTGCAAAGTACCAAAAAATATAAATCTTAGTAGTTTGTAGAATATTAGAGAAGACACACTAAAATCCTTCATTTCAGTTAGTTGCCATTGCAGGTGAGGAAAGCTGTATCTTCCTCATATTCTAGTTAGGTGGTACGTGGGGAATGCCATTAATTATTTGTGTAATTAAAATGTATGTGCTGGAGTGTTCCTCACAGTTTTGTTGTTGATGTTATAATATCAAGTATTTTGTTTTTTTCTCTGTATTTTCTTCTCTGTGTTTTCACCCTGCAGATGCAAAGAATGGACTTAAGATGGGCTTTTTTTTTTTTTTTAATGAGAGGAAATTTTGTGCCTTAAGGATACATTCTTTTTCTCTATAATATAGTTTTGGAAAATACTGAATAAACTTAATTAGTATTTAATAGATCTATTCATAACACCTGTCTGTAAATGACATAGGGCAGCCTATTTACAGTAATCCTATAGTAAATATTTATAATGAATAAATTCTCCGTATCCCAGACTATCCTTTGACTTCCTGTTTTTGGAGTTTTTATATATCAAATTTGCCTAAAATATATATATTTCTCTTCCTTATTGACTAATAGCATTACCAAATAACACTTCAAGCCATTTTTTAACTAGCAAATTTCTATTGATTATATAAGGTTTAAGGGATGACTTCAGCTAATTGATAAATTTCATGATTTAAAAGTGTTTGATAAGGGGCACCTGGGTGGCTCAGTCAAGCGTCTGCCTTCGGCTCAGGTCATGATCCCAGGGTCCTGGGATTGAGTCCCGCATCGGGCTCCCTGCTCAGCAGGGCATGTGCTTCTCCCTCTGCCTGATGCTCCCCCTGCTTGTGCTCTCTCTCTCTCTCTCTCACTCAAATAAATAAATAAAAGCTTCAAAAAAATAAAAAATAAAAAAATGAAAGTGTTTGATAAATGGAATTTTAGTCTGAATGAACAAATTATAAAAAACCTATAGTGTTCCTCCACATGGTTTTCCAACCATATTTCACTTGATTTTTACTAATAACAGCTGGATTATTGAAAAACATGAATGAGGAGAAATGAATTCCCAAATGAAAGGCTCTTCAGATGGCAATGTTCTAGTCCTGCTTGTCTGGTCTTCCTTTTATACTGCCATCTAGTATAAGTAGATAGAAGTGTGTCCCCCATGAAACGGATGTTGTCAATGAAATTTGAAAGGTCCTAATTTTGTTTGGGAGTTATGATTATAGTTCCCTGGAGAAAAATGTTAAAGGAATGTAGCAAGCTTCTATTCAATAGGGAACCCACTTTATCAAGCATTTCTAGTTTAGAGCTGCAACATCTTCAAAGTCATGTATCTTATTTAGGAATGTTTGCCACACTTCAGTCCTCTAGGTGTGAGGCTAGGTTTATTATTTCAAAATAACTTTTAGGGTTTTAGCTTTCAAAAGAAATTAAATAGGAAATAAATACTTCCAAGAAACCTAGTAGTTCCAAATTAATACCACATCCTCGTGAAAAACACCGAGAGCCACAAGCTGCAAACGGAAGAGTTAATTACAGAGCCCAAGTTAAATTATGTATACACCAAGAAAGTTCAACAAGAGACCAGGAGGCTAGAAATGGGAAAAGCAAAAGTATGTAAACTGAGAAATAAAAAGAGAGGGATGGGGCACCTGGGTGGTTCAGTCAGTTGAGTGCCCAACTCTTGATTTCGGCTTAGGTCATGATTGTGAGATCAAGCCCCGCATTGAACTCCATGCCCAGTGGGTAGCCTGCTTGAGTTTCTTTCCCTCTGCCCCTTTCCCTCTCTCTCTCTCTCTAAAAATAAATACATAAAAAAGGGGGAGGGATAAAAAAGATTAGAGGGAAGATGGTAACTTTAGGAGACAAGTTAGGGAGCGCCAATGCACGCATCAGTGGAGCCCCCAAAGCCGGAACTGGGGTGACGAAATCCTCCTTGGTAGCAGGGTGACGTAGTTGTGAGTCCTCTGTGAGAGGGCTCCGGGGTTATTTCTGGGGGCCTCTGCAGACCCTCAGCAAGTCCATCAGTGGGCCGTTTTAGCAGGTTTGAGGAAGGAATGGGAGTCTGAGTTTTTACAGGCCCTCTGTTGGTATCTTCGGCAAGAGAAGGGTAAGTAGGACCAAGAAGGTGCCAGATCAGAGCTTTTCGGAAAGCTTGCAGGCAGTTTGGATGAAAATCGGGTCGAAAGCAGTGGTACGTTATTATTACTATTGTTTTTTAACTTTTCGTTTTGAAATAATTCAGAAAAGTTATAAAGGCAAGTAGAGTTGCCATACCCACTATCTATGTTTAGTACTCCTTTAAGTACTGAGTATGTAAGTAAGGAGACGACGGCTTCTCATCTCCTAGGTGCCGGAGCAATTCTGATCCCGCGTCTGGATGCTGTGATTTCCTTGGTCGGGGCTGTGAGCAGCAGCACCCTGGCCCTGGTCCTGCCACCTTTCGTTGAGATTCTTACGTTCTCTAAGGAACACTACAGCCTGTGGATGGTCCTGAAAAATACTTCCATAGCATTCACTGGACTTGTGGGATTCTTCTTAGGTACATATGTAACTGTGGAAGAAATTATTTATCCTACTCCCAAAGTTGGCGCACCACAAAACCCTTCTCTAAATTTGAATTCATCCTGCTTTCCATCTGGTTTGAAATAGTGGAAGCAGAATTATGAGTCTTCTCCTTTTGTCTCGATTCTGAAAATGATGAAAATAAGAACTAGTAGAACATATTGCCATGTGCTTAAAAATAGAACCAAATTCTCTTTTCTTTTGGCACAGTAATGGTATTTTAGTAGTAGACTGTAATTCTTTACCGATAGTGGTAAACTATGACAGATTATTGGTTTTAACTATTAGCAATAATTTCAAAAAAATTAGTTTTGAAAATTTTTTAAATCAAAATTAAGAAATTAAAATGTAGAAAAATTAAAGAATAAAAAGACTTCCACTATTCTTCATTCAATCAGAAATACTCTTAACGAAGATTCTCTTTTATACCCATGCTCCTCTTTCCCCACCCAGTTGAGGGGAGAACAGGGTTCTAACAATAAGAGAATCAAAGAAGGACATAGTTAACAAAAATCTTCTCACTGTCTTGGTGAATATCAGAGTGTACTTTGTGTATAATGTAAAAATGTCTTAAATTGTGTTTTTACTAGAGAGCCAAATACTTACAATTCATCCCTGGAAGGATAGAAAACTCATTAACCCTAATGTAAGCATCAGAAATCCCTACAACCAGAATTATTCTACACTATTCTCTGATGGTAGTTGATCTACACAATGAAAACTGAGGCACTGTGTGAGATCCTGACTTAGTGTCTCAGTCAAATTTGAAAGAGACTTTAAGGGTTATCCAACACAATTCCCTTATTTCTTACCTAAGGAAATTCATGCACAGAAAGGTTAACTAACTTGGTCAAGACCACTCAGCTTTGAGATCAAGCAAGAGAACCTGATCTTTTGACCCCCAGTCAGGATTTTTTGTTTTTTACATCACATCCAGAAAAAGAATAAATTATGTCCAGTTTAGTCTTTAGTGTTGCATCTATTTAATTATATTTTAATACTTAGAAAGCCAGTGATCTTTGAATAATATATGTGACCTGACCATAAAAATCAGAGAACTCTGAAAAGCATGTATTACAGCCATATAAACCCCAACAAGAGAAAGAAGTTTTTTGTTTTTTTGTTTTGTTCTGTTTTAAAAAATAGAAATCACATGCCAGTTTAACTGCTGGCTAGTAGAAGGTACCCAGCTACTCTGTTTGTGGCTCAAAGTCTCCTTATTAGTTCTTCCCGTTTTGGGTTTTGTAGGCGCCATCTTTCTCAATGGCAGAAAATAAGTATCTGACAAAATGCAGGATATGTGTATTCCTTCCAGCCCTGTGGCTTTTTTATTATAGCCTTTTACTGATCTGAATGGGCAGAATAAAAAAACCATAAAGAAATTTGTGCTGAGGAAAAATCAAGGCAATAACAGACTACTAAATCTTGAGACACTCCAGGTTTCTTCCAGAGAAATACCTTTTATTACTCCATATTTGTCAAGCCCAGTTATTAACCAAAACAATCTCAGTTGACATGAAAAATGAAAAATTTTACATTTAAAACATTAAGAATCTTGACTTTTTAAAAAATTCATGCTTTAAAACATGTTGAACTTTTTAATCAGGCTGATGGTACTCTAATTTGTAATACTGTAAGATATCATCAAGATCACTGTAGTGTGTGTATTCTATATTTTTATATGTAAATGTTAACTTAGTTCAAGTATTTTTTGCTTTGCATTATTAATGAGTCATCAAATACAATTCTAACAAAGTATCAGAAACTTTATTTTTGTACAAATTCATAAGAATCAAACTTTTTTTAAACATTTACATTAGATATCACCAATAATTGTTTGTAACACTTTTATATCAAATCTGTTCTGTTGAGCTTTTAGTCATACTGAGAGAATGTGGGCAAAGTTATAGGAAAAGTAATCGTAATTGAAACTGTTGTATAATCGTGTTTCTAAGAATAAATTAAGTTGTTTTTTAAAAAATGTGTAACTTGGTATAAAATGACTTGAAAACCATTATTTAATAGAAAGCACTATTATTTTGTCAGCTGTCTTCAGATATTTCTAGTCTTTGCGTGAAATTTTATTTTTATACTTTGACCTGTTTATTTTCCTTATTAATTCATCAAATTCAATAAATTTTGAAGAGTTGATCATAGCAATAAATAAATTTTAGATTCTGCACGAACAAAATGTTGAGCGCATTATCAGCCAGGCTTCTTTATGCAGCGAGTGCTGAATCGACAGCCAGTACATAGTCCACTAAATCACCAATACTTTAAATACAAGAGAAAAGTTGAAATGGCAAAAGAAGGGGCTAAAAAGGGAGAGACTAGTCTTAATCCTTAACAAGAAACTGTTTAGATGTAAAGCATAAATGCACCCTTACTTAAGGATTTTTGATGATGTATTTTATTTGCAAAAAAAATCAGTGGCAATATTTTTTCCTCTGAAAATTTAGTTTTAATGAGTCACAACCTTTTCTAAAGATTCTTGGAGAAGCTATTTTGATGAGACCAGCTGTTGCTTTCATTTTGGGGCCTGGACAGATGAGAGCGATTGCACCTGTCAAATTGTATATCTAGTCCATTACGTTATGGCTCAGACGACTGCAGCGTTTCATCTGCCACAATAAAGAACCCCCTTCTCTGAAAGCTAATCAGGTGCCTAGAGCCTTTTCTACCACTGAGATGGGGGAGAAAGGAAACCTTCACTTACCTCTGCTGACCTCTGTTCCAAGTCAGTTATCATTAGTCCCTTACCTTCAAAAGGGTGTCGCCAGTTTCAGAGTCAACTTGTCAAAACACTGGTTTTCAGATATATATATATATATTTTTTTTATCAGAGGATCTTCTTTTCCCCACATGGTCAGATTTCTCCACAATTAAATAAGAACTAGGGTTTTCCCTTGGTTAAAGACCAATCTGTATGATGTTATCAAATAAGAAAGTATACTGGAGCAGCAAATGCCACATTATGTTTTAATTCTGTCCTTGCTGCATTCTCCTTTCTTAAAACCGGTTCTGCTTCTCATCTAGGCAACGCACTTAACGTTTTTATAAGCATTTTATGCAATGCGCATGTTGTAAATTTCCTAACAGGGCCTAATTTAATTCAGTATTTTCCGAAGAGTTGCAGGAAAGCTGTCTAACTGCAAGGCACTATAAAAATATTACGGAACTATGAATTAAAGTTCCACATTAGTAAAAAAAAAAAAAGTTCCACATTAGTGCCATTTCCAGCTGTGGCAAAGCTCAGGTGTTAGTGGAGCTTACCTGTGGCTTTCTTCACTGTAGATGTCAGCCCATACAGCATCTCAGTAGTACATGTGTTTATGTTAGGCTTCGACCTCAGTTCTCCTTTCTTCATTTAAAAAGGAGAAGACACAGGGGCACCTGGGTGGCTCAGTCTTTGGGCGTCTGCCTTCGGCTCGGGTCATGATCCCAGGGTCCTGGGATCAAGCCCCACATCGGGCTCCCTGCTTGGCGGGAAGCCTGCTTCTCCCTCCCCCACTCCCCCTGCTTGTGTTCCCTCTCTCGCTGTCTCTCTCTGTCAAATAAATAAATAAAATCTTTAAAAAAAAAAAAAAGGAGAACACACAGAATAGAGGTAATGGAAATCATAAATAAAAATTTGAAAAGAATACCAGTGGCCCAATGAATATATTCTGTTGAGGAATAAGATTTGGTAAAAATACAGACCATTGATCATGTAAAATGAGTTTGTTTGTTTTTTTCTAAATGAGTCTATTTGGTTCTTTTTGGCTGAACTAGCTTCTCCCTTCATAAGAAAAGTTGAGAACTTTGATCTAAAAGGTGTAACAAGATACTTCCTAATATTAAATGGCTGACTGTAATAGTTAAGACTTTGGCAGTGTTATGGATAATCTTATTTATGCCCCAAGTGCTTACTCAACTAAACGCCTTAATGAAAGTGGTTTTCACTTAGGAGATAAGAAAACATACTTAAGAAATGACTGGAAAGGCTATTTATTACCCTGTGATAAATGAAATGATGACTTACTCTCTCTCTTAAAATGCCATATTAAAATTAGCTAGTTCTTATGCACGTACACACACACACCTGTAATCCATGTGAATTAGATACTAATGTTAACATACCATTTAAATTGGAACCAGAAAGATGATGTGTTGAAAGATCACTCCAGAAATTATTCCATTACAGTTTTCTTGATAACAAATAGGAAAGTAAATGCTTATACCATGAATAAATTAAGCTGTGGATTTTTGTGTTTTTCAAAATGATTTTTTGTTAGTTTGAAATATCATTGCACTTGAGTCAATTCTTTTTCTTTTAACTTATTTTTCTTTACAATACGAAAAAAACTGTCTTAAAGTACTGTAACTCTTCTGAATTCTCAATAAAATATAATTATTTTGCTTGCAAATGCCTTTTTAAATGAATTTGTCTTCTATAAGGTTAAATGATATTGACAAATGTCATAAGCTGGAAATGGCACTAGTATAGTCTAATCATAACATTTTAATCAGTCTTTGTGGTTAATTCTTTGTCATGTGATCTTCAACCTTGGAAGCTGATATTATGTACCTCTAAGATTTAAGAGCAGAAGTTGATTAAAAATGAAGGGACATACTCAAAACCATGATCTGACCTTCCCACAGAGTAAATGCACAATGAGCAGTCTGCAGATGCTACATCTGTGATTTAATTTACCACTCTCTTTCAGTCAAGAATTGTATCAGTTACACTTTAATACATTTTGCTTGCATTATGCCAACTCCCCAAATCAAAGATCATAAACATATTTATACTTTTACATCAATAATCCTGCTCTTGTGAACCTAACCTAAGGACATGCTATAGTTCATCAAAAGAGAAACACTCTGTGCCTAAAGGTGCATCAGCAACGTTTTAGTAGTGAAAAATTGGAAACAAATGTTCAGCAATAAGGAAATCATAAATTGTGACATACTAACCTAGAATACAATGAAGATTGTGTTAATTACATTGGCATTACACTGAAGGTTAATAATTTGGGAAAGAATAAATACATAAAATTAATTTTTAATTGCAGCTCTATAAAAATAATGCTTTTGAGCCGACATAAAGTACACAGAAAGTGGAACCATAGTGTTAGGAAAAAGATGGGTTTGGGGCAACCTGGGTAGCTCAGTCAGTTGAGCATCTGACTCTTGGTTTCAGCTCAGGTCATGATCTCATGGGTGGTGAGAGTGAGCCCTGTGTCAGGCTCCATGCGTGTGCTCTTTCTCTCAAACAAATAAATAAATCTTTTTTAAAAAAGATGGGTTTTCCTATTTTAAAATGAGTAGTAAAGGGAGGACTGTGAGAGAAATAAAGGGGAATAAAGTTATAAAGCCTTAGTAAGAGTACATGCTCTTAGCAAGCAACAGAAGAAATGGAAAGACAAAAACAATAAACCAACAGAGTAGGGATAGAACTAGGTACACAGAGAAAATGCAATGAAAAGACTCACAGAATACTTGCTGAAGGAAAACAAATACAGCCACTTTGTAAAATTAATTTTAGTTTTTTTTATGCAAAAGAATGATGGTTCTAACATATGCACATGGTCTCAAAATTTTGCACATAAATTGGGGGGGGTTCACACGTTAAAGAACTGGCTTGATTTGAAGTTTCCTTTTAAGGGTAGATTTGTTTGAAGGCTTAAAATGGTGAGAGGGAATCAGGTCTTTTGGTCTTCAAAGTTTTCTGGTGCCAGGAAGCACAGGACCACTTGGTTCCAGATGATAGAATGCTTCTCACACTAAAGCTAAAACATGAATCTTGCCAAGGAATTAGGGAGTAATTTCACTCTCCACCCCGGGTCTTGAGCTGGGCTAAAGGATGAGGACTGGACACGGGAACACCCTCCACCCTGCCTAACCTGTCCTAAGCAGAGAAGAAAGGAGTGTCAAGTGTGGATCAGGCTAAGCAGGTCTAGAGCAGAACAAGAAGATAGACC